CCAAAAATATTATCCTTTATACATCCCTGGATTCATGAACAATTTGCAATGTGAGTTTTTTTAAATATTATGATAAATTTTAAAATTCAGTTGCTTAATATTATAATGCATGAGTATGGCGAAATCATTTTTTGTCAACAATATTAGACTGTAATTTAAAAGATGAAAATGTCAACATATTTTGCTATGATTTAAAAATCTTTAATCCAGCCTACCCATGCATCTAATATATTCTTTACATAAAACTTATTTTTATCATATAATAGGATCCCTTTAAAGTTTATTTCAAAACATAGAACTGTAATTATGAAATATATTAGGCCAGTCATCGAAAGACGTTTCCGTGAGAAAGAGAGATTAGGCGACGCTTGGGTTCCTCCCGTAAGTTATTTATAAAATATTGATTTTATTAATAGATTTTTACTACAAGTGATCGTCACCACGCCTAGATATTTTTAGAGTTAGGGTGCAGCTTTAGGGATTTTTTTTTTTTACTATATAATATAATGTAGATAAGATATAAGGTACCGATTTCAGTTCTCATGAGATTTTCAGGTGTTCAGAACATTTTTCACTTAGAATACCGATCCAATTTACTTAGTACGTTTTTGAGATATAAGCACCCTGGTGACGGTCACCACCGGTTGTAGTTAGTAATTTTCTTATTAATAATTATTATTCTACCAATTTTAATTTGATTTAAAAATAGTTGGATGCTCTGCAAGTTTGTTTAGACGATCCAGAAATAGCACCAGATCTCAATCCAAATAATGTAGATTATAACTTTATTGTTGACCTAATTGGATTATTTATATTTACTTCTATGTCATCTACGCCTAATTTTGCTTCCTATATTTTATATGGTTAGTCATATTATATTATTTTTCATTATGAGATAGTCATATTTTAAATATATTTACTTGAAAATTAGAAATGGCAAAAAGGAAAGAATATTGGCAAGAATTATATCAGGAGGCTCAAGAAATTAATAAACAGTGTAATGGCAAACTTAAAGCCGATGATCTTGATAAAATGGTAAAATTGGATAGCTATATTAAAGAAGCTTTGAGATTAAATTCTAATTTACTCAATTTACCACGCAAATGTGTTGCTGAATCTCATTATACATTTTCGGATGGATATCAAATACCAAATAGTAATTTTTTCATGATTTTTATTCTTTTAATTTTAAAAGAATAATAATTCTCATTTCTTTCTAACTATATAAAATTATAGGTCGTATGGTCTATGTAAATGCACATGATATATCTTTCGATGAAAAATTTCATGGTCAGAATCCCAAAGAATTCAATCCACATCGTCATTTAGAACGTAATTCTCCAGCGACAAAGTTAGAGCCTAACTTATTGATATTTGGATATGGAAAACATGCCTGTCCGGGTAGATATTTTGCTGTTAATGTATTTAAAATCATATTTCATGAAGTTTTGCTAAAATATAATATTAAGCCTGTTGACGAGAATGTAGAATACCAGAGCTATATAGGATTTAGTCTTATGCTAATGAAGGGTGAAGTTGTGTTTGAGAATAGAAATTAGTCTGTGCAAATATTTTAATGCATTTAGACTTTTTAATTAATGCGTATAATTCAATTTTTTTTTTATTTTACTATTTGTAATCAAGATAACAAGATCTAATTAAACTTAGTTGTTTAATATACTGTAGTTCTGTAATAAAATTATTTACATAAATTCATAATAGAATGTATGACAATTCCTATACAAACTAACCAACATATTGTTGCCACCGAAATAGCAAGTAAGTTC